TGGTGTCTGTTTACCCTCCCTGCCTCTAACTTTACTTTAACTCTGTCCTCAGTTGTCTCTACTGATTGGTGTCTGTTTACCCTCCCTGCCTCTAACTTTACTTTAACTCTGTCCTCAGATGTCTGTACTGACTGGTGTCTGTTTACCCTACCTGCCTCTAACTTTACTTTAACTCTGTCCTCAGATGTTAGTGCTTCACCAAGATGAGATTGCTCCCGACTCAAATGACCCGCTACACGAATTACTGGAGGATCTTGGAGAGGTTCCCACAGTAGCTGAGCTCCTAGGTAAATCCTCAACCAGTCCATATATCCTAAATTAAATCCGTGTCCTGTCCATATATATCCTAAGTTAAATCCTCGTCCTGTCCATATATCCTAAGTTAAATCCTCGTCCTGTCCATATATCCTTAATTAAATCTGTGTCCTGTCCATATATCCTAAATTAAATCCTCGGCCTGTCCATATATCCTAAGTTAAATCCTAGTCCTGTCCATATATCCTAAATTAAATCCTCATCCTGTCCATATATCCTAAGTTAAATCCTCGTCCTGTCCATATATCCTAAAATAAATACTCGTCCTGTCCATATATCCTAAATTAAATCCGTGTCCTGTCCATATATAGCCTAAGTTAAATCCTCGTCCTGTCCATATATCCTAAATTAAATCCTCATCCTGTCCATATATCCTAAGTTAAATCCGCGTCCTGTCCATATATCCTAAATTAAATCCTCGTCCAGTCCATATATCCTAAGTTAAATCCTCGTCCTGTCCATATACCCTAAATTAAATCCTCGTCCTGTCCATATATCCTAAAATAAATACTCGTCCTGTCCATATATCCTAAATTAAATCCTCGTCCTGTCCATATATCCTAAGTAAAATCCTCGTCCTGTCCATATATCCTAAGTAAATTCCTCGTCCTGTCCATATATCCTAAAATAAATCCTCGTCCTGTCCATATATCCTAAATTAAATCCTCGTCCTGTCCATATATCATAAGTTAAATCCTAGTCCTGTCCATATATCCTAAGTAAAATCCTCGTCCTGTCCATATATCCTAAGTTATATCCTCGTCCTGTCCATATATCCTTAATTAAATCTGTGTCCTGTCCATTTATCCTAAATTAAATCCTCGTCCTGTCCATATATCCTAAGTTTAAACCCCTTTCCTGTCCATATATCCTAAGTTAAATCCTCGTCCTGTCCATATATCCTAAGTTAAATCCTAGTCCTGTCCATATATCCTAAGTAAAATCCTCGTCCTGATCATATATCCTAAGTTAAATCCTAGTCCTGTCCATATATCCTAAGTTAAATCCTCTTCCTGTCCATATATCGTAAGTTAAATCCTCATCCTGTCCATATATCCTAAGTGAAATCCTCGTCCTGTCCATATATCCTAAATTAAATCCTCGTCCTGTTCTTATATCCTAAATTAAATACTGGTCCTGTCCATATATACTAAGTTAAATCCTCTTCGGGGGCATATATCCTAAGTTTAATCCTTGTCCTGTCCATATATCGTAAGTTAAATCCTCATCCTGTCCATATATCCTAAGTTAAATCCTCTTCCTGTCCATATATCCTAAGTTTAATCCTTGTCCTGTCCATATATCCTAAGTTAAATCCTCGTCCTGTCCATATATCCTAAATTAAATCCTGGTCCTGTCCATATATACTAAGTTAAATCCTAGTCCTGTCCATATATCCTAAGTTAAATCCTCGTCCTGTCCATATAGCCTAAGTTAAATCCTCGTCCTGTCCATATATCCTAAATTAAATCCTGGTCCTGTCCATATATCCTAAGTTAAATCCTAGTCCTGTCCATATATCCTAAGTAAAATCCTCGTCCTGTCCATATATCCTAAGTTAAATCCTAGTCCTGTCCATATATCCTAAGTACAATCCTCGTCCTGTCCATATATCCTAAATTAAATCCTCGTCCTGTCCATATATCCTAAATTAAATCCTAGTCCTGTCCTTATATCCTAAATTAAATCCTAGTCTTGTCCATATATCCTAAGTTAAATCCTCGTCCTGTCCATGTATCCTAAGTTTAATCCTAGTCCTGTCCATATATCCTAAGTTTCCATGTCTGTATAGCATTGATTGTCATTACTATTTACTAGGTAGAAGAAATAAGATGTTTTCATGATGATAATTGAAGTTGTATTGGTAGTTTTAACTAGAGATTATTAACAAACAAGACCTATTGTCACATTTCTTTACAAGTGATCTTTATTTGTGTTTGTACAACCCTGCATGAATCATTTGTATAAAGATATTCACCACTGGTTGTCTGGATAAACAGGTGTAGACCTTCCTGAAGAGGAAACCATGCGTAACACCGTGCTCGCTCAACTAGGCACAACCGAGATAACGCTCACACTCACCAACAAATTTGAAGTTCCGGAAGATGACCAATCTAATGTTAAACAGCTTCTTATCAGGTAAACTGACCATTACAATGATAAACAGATCCATATAAGGTAAACTGACCACTGCAATGATAAACAGATCCATATAAGGTAAACTGACCACTACAATGATAAACAGATCCATAGAAGGTAAACTGACCTGACTAAGGTTAAACAGATCCATATAAGGTAAACTGACCTCACTTAGTACAAACAGATCCATATCAGATAAACTGACCTGACTAAGGATAAACAGATCCATATAAGGTAAACTGACCTGACTAAGTACAAACAGATCCATAAAAGGTAAACTGACCTGATTAAGGATAAACAGATCCATATAAGGTAAACTGACCTGACTTAGTACAAACAGATCCATATCAGATAAACTGACCTGACTAAGGATAAACAAATCCTTATAAGGTAAACTGACCTGACTAAGGATAAACAGATCAGATCCATATAAGATAAACTGACCTGACTAAGTATAAACAGATCCATATAAGGTAAACTGACCTGACTAAGGTTAAACAGATCCATATAAGGTAAACTGACCCAACTAAGGATAAACAGATCCATATAAGGTAAACTGACCTGACGAAGTACAAACAGATCTATATAAGGTAAACTGACCTGACTAAGTACAAACAGAGCCATAAAAGGTAAACTGACCTGACTAAGGATAAACAGATCCATATAAGGTAAACTGCCCTGACTAAGTACAAACAGAGCCATAAAAGGTAAACTGACCTGACTAAGGATAAACAGATCCATATAAGGGAAACTGACCTGACTAAGGATAAACAGATCCATATAAGGTAAACGGACCACTACAATGATAAACAGATCCATATAAGGTAAATTGACCCAACTAAGGATAAACAGATCCATATAAGGTAAACGGACCACTACAATGATAAACAGATCCATATAAGGTAAATTGACCCAACTAAGGATAAACAGATCCATATAAGGTAAACGGACCACTACAATGATAAACAGATCCATATAAGGTAAACTGACCACTACAATGATAAACAGATCCATATAAGGTAAATTGACCCAACTAAGGATAAACAGATCCATATAAAGTAAACTGTCCAGACTAAGTACAAACAGATCCATATAAGGTAAACTGACCTGACTAAGGATAAACAGATCCATATAAGGTAAACTGACCTGACTAAGTACAAACAGATCCATATAAGGTAAACTGACCTGATTAAGGATAAACAGATCCATATAAGGTAAACTGACCTGACTAAGTACAAACAGAGCCATATCAGGTAAACTGACCTGACTAAGGATAAACAGATCCATATAAGGTAAACTGACCTGACGAAGTACAAACAGATCCATATAAGGTAAACTGACCTGACTAAGTGCAAACAGATCCAACAGATCCATATAAGGTAAACTGACCCAACTAAGGATAAACAAATCCATATAAGGTAAACTGACCTGACTAAGGATAAACAGATTCATATAAGATAAACTGACCTGACTAAGGATAAACAGATCCATATAAGGTCAACTGACCTGACTAAGGATAAACAAATCCATATCAGATCAACTGACCTGACTAAGGATAAACAGATCCATATAGGGTAAACTGACCTGACTAAGGATAAACAGATCCATATAATGTAAACTGACCACTACAATGATAAACAGATCCATATAAGGTAAATTGACCCGACTAAGGATAAACAGATCCATATAAAGTAAACTGTCCAGACTAAGTACAAACAGATCCATATAAGGTAAATTGACCTGACTAAGGATAAACAGATCCATATAGGGTAAATTGACCCGACTAAGGATAAACAGATCCATATAAGGTAAATTGACCTTATTAAGGATAAACAGATCCATATAAGGTAAACTGACCACTACAATGATAAACAGATCCATATAAGGTAAACTGACCCAACTAAGGATAAACAGATCCATATAAGGTAAATTGACTCGACTAAGGTTTAAATAGCTGATTAGGTGACCAATGCATTATTTCTAACCAACAGCATTATTGATGTGTAAGTTTAAAGGAAACAGTATCCTATTGCTATATATTGTTCTTCTTTGATACAAACTGAGCTTCCTACCACACTTGCTCAGTGACAACATTTATCAGCTATGTATTTCATTTGTTTTATAGAAGTGATATGTTGAACTTGTTACAGGACGAAGCGTCTCGTAGTAGATGTCGTGGCCTGCCAGCCGGGCGACACGCTCTTACAGATTCTGGAGTCCACGGCAACAGACGAACAGGAGGAACTGCACCAAGCACTCGTTAAAAAACGTGAGCGGCGTGACAGGAAGGCTTCAGCCAAACAGGGTGGAAAGGGACTTGTTCGACACCCGTCCATGTTGTCAGAAACCATGTACGTTGTTGTCAGGTGAAAGATCAGGTGAAAGGTTATAACAGACCAGAACAACAAAGGCAGTTTGAGTTAGCATCGCAGAGAAAATATCCCTAATGTAGTGGATTGTACTTATTGTAACATCTGTTCCATATCATGTTCTGATGCCAGCTGCACACATTTTTTAAGTTGCAGCTTTGACTGTATAATCAATGTTAAAATTTGCACTTAAATTTTTAAAAACCCATTTAAGATGAATCCATGTGAGAGCCTTAATCATCATTGGATAGAAAACATCTGTGTAAGCCACTCCACATTTCCAGTTAACAAGATCATATAAAGTGTTAACCACTCCACATTTCCAGTTAACAAGATCATTTAAAGTGTAAACCACTCCACATTTCCAGTTAAAAAGATCATATAAAGTGTAAACCACTCCACATTTCCAGTTAACAAGATCATATAAAGTGTAAACCATTCCACATTTCCAGTTAACAAGATCATGTAAAGTGTAATTCACTCCATATTTCTAAAAGTTAACAAGATCATATAAAGTGTAAACCACTCCACATTTCCAGTTAACAAGATCATATAAAGTGTAAACCACTCCAAATTTCTAATAGTTAACAAGATTATATAAAGTGTAAACCACTCCACATTTCCAGTTAACAAGATCATATAAAGTGTAAACCTCTCCAAATTTCTTATAGTTAACAAGATCATATAAGTTTAAACCTCTCCAAATTTCTAATAGTTAACAAGATCATATAAAGTGTAAACCACTCCACATTTCCAGTTAACAAGATCATATAAAGTGTTAACCACTCCATATTTCTAAAAGTTAACAAGATCATATAAAGTGTATATTGTAAATGAAGTAATTGTACAAGTCGTCATTACACAGCTTCAATATTATTTCCTGACACAGTTGAAGGTCTCTTAGTATGACAGCTTCAATATTATTTCCTGACACAGTTGAAGGTCTCTTAGTATAACAGCTTCAATATTATTTCCTGACACAGTTTGCTAATGGTGTTTTTTCTTAGACTACCAAATTACGCAAGACATGCATGAAGCACAATGGTCGTCATGGTAAGAAAGACATTTATGAAGAATATGACCACAAGTCAGGATGGGACAATATTCATCATTTGTGGGTGATCAGTTATATGATAATTGATATTCCTCTTTTCTCAGGTTATCAATACAAGTGATGAAGACAAAGATAAAGAAGCAGCTTCAGAATCTAGAACTGGAGGGAGTCTTGACGAGGAAAAATAGCTACCAGGGTCTGGTCAACATGATCGCACAGGTGGGCAAGCTTTACGCGTCACTGTGTGGGGCTCTCATGTCGGAGGACAGGTTGGGTTCAGGGCAGTTTACATTTTCTCCCACATTATGTCACCTGGGGATAATTGGTCTTGGAAGAGGTGGAGTGTCATTGAAAATATTAGGTCACTGTGACCTACATTTTGACCTTTGACCTTAATTAAGAGTGCAAAATATGTGAGATACTGCTTGTCTGGAGCATATCTCCAACATTATTTCACCTAGGATCATCACACTTGGTGTGCTGTTGCATCCTGAGAAGGCAGTGTCACATACATTTGAGCTTTAATTAAGGTGAAAGGTCAAAATGTAGGTCACATTGACTTTTCCTTAACATGACACTTCGTCTTCCCATGATGTACCAGCATACAAAGTTTTATAATCCTAGATGAAATAATGAAGGAGATGGCCTATTGTACACCTCCTGAGCTGGGATATGAGCAGAACTTCCTTCAGGTCTCTATTAGGCCCATAGTGTAGCAGTCAGGGAAATTGGCAATGTGTTGCTACTTTGTTGATACTCATATCGATTTAATTGTCTTAGGATATCGTAGACTTCAATTGTTGGTAACAAAATGTGAAGTCAGAGATGTACTGAATGCTTTTGAAATTGTATACTGCCAATGATTCTATAATGCATAACATTTTGATTTTTACCTTCATTTATATGTTTAAAGGATATCCGTAATCAAAGACGTTACCGTAACAGCCGTAAACAGGAGTTAATGCGTGTGCGCACTACATTGAAGGGGCTTCAGGAGAAGCGAACCTTTTACGAGTCTCAGATCGACTACTACAATAGATACGTTAAAACCTGTATAGAGAATCTTCAACAGAAAAGCAAGTAAGTAGATCCAGTACAGCAATCTGTTAGTATTTCTCGGTGTCCCAACATCACATCTTATCTTTGAATATTTCACCTTAGGATGCCCAAGTACTTTTAAACAATGTTAAAAGCCCTTTATCAGAGATACGAGTGCCCTATAGTTATTTATGTCCCTACTTTCGTTTCCGGAGATTATCTTGAAATCCAAATAACTAAATTTAAATTTGGCATGGTGTAAAACTGAATGTAGATGTGCAATATTGGTGTAAAAAGTTTCAAATGGCAAGTCCAATGCCACTGTTAAGGTAATAGGATTGTGTCACCATTTCTCAGTAGAATTTCTTCAAATTTTGTAGTTATATTGCTTTTAAGTAAAGAAAATTTTCTGCCACAAAAAAAATATATGTTGTCAGAATTTTAAGGATTTTAAATGGAAATTTATGTAAAAAGGAGTGAATTTTGAAAAAAAAAATGAAAGACACAATATTTTTACAAAATAAAGTCAATAAAAATGATACTGACATATATTAGTATTGCATTAATGTATATCAATTTAATAAATGCTGAGATTGTGTAAAATTAATTCTCTATACACGATATAAAAATTGACATTTTATAATAAAACCATATACACATAGTAATTGCAGGTAAGAGTTATCGTTCTTGAAAAACTTCACAGTAGTGAAATAGGTAGCCGGTTTCCTGAAGTACAGAAAAATGGACACATGTGACTCATTGATAAAAGAAAACCTGAATTAATGCCTGGATTGCTTTGAAATACTTTAATATTGAGAGAACACACTGTTCTGTCAATAATAAACATACAATATTCATCAATTTAATATTAAACATTAGAATTTGCGGAAATTGTGATGCTGTCTCCCTACATTGGTTATTCAACTAGGGATGTACTTCCTGTTTCTGTTTTTCAATACACTCCAATGACCTTAATAAAATTAGACCATTGGGGGTAAAGTTCTTATCTCATTTCTCAGAATTCTAATATTTTTTTTTATTTTTTATTTGACATGGTGAAACACTGATATTTACATCAGTGACAGACGTATAAAAAATATTCAAGGTCAGGTCAGGTATATGGCAGGGTCCTAGTGTTCTAGTTACTGTTTGCAGACCAAGTATTTGCTGCGAAAAGAGCCATGTAATTAGTGCTCAAGAAAATTACCCACATGTAACTGTGTTATGTTTTTTTAGTAACCGAAAATCACGAGGCCTTTTTAAACGTGGAGATGGCAAGGTGAGCTACGAGTCTGTGAAGTACAGTGCCTCCAAACTCCATGAGAAGGGGGTCATACTAGATGTGGAAGGGCTGCCTAATAGTCAGTAAGTACACCGAGTGGCACCATTATAATAGTCAGTAAGTACACCGAGTGGCACCATTATAATAGTCAGTAAGTACACCGAGTGGCACCATTATAATAGACACGTTTCTTGTCTATTAATGCATTACCTGTCGAGTACTATTCCTATGCATTTTACAAATTTAAAAATAATAGGAGAGAAAAAAATAAAAAACAGAAATTCAAGGGGTCATTCACTCAAGCTTTGGATCTGTCCCTGTCAAAACTGATGGTTTTATTAACGAATGTTTCTGTCCATATGTTAACATATACAGTATCATAATGCCATATGTTAGAATATACAGTATCCTCTGTGTAATTCTGCTGTTGAAGTAGAACTCCTCTAAGTAATTCCGTCTGTTGAAGTAGAACTCCTCTGTGTAATTCTGTCTTTTGAAGTAGAACTTCTCTGTGTAATACTGTCTGTTGAAGTAGAACTCCTCTGTGTAATTCCGTCTGTTGAAGTAGAACTCCTCTGTGTAATTCTGTCTTTTGAAGTAGAACTCCTCTGTGTAATTCCGTCTGTTGAAGTAGAACGCCTCTGTGTAATTCCGTCTGTTGAAGTAGAACTCCTCTGTGTAATTCTGTCTGTTGAAGTAGAACTCCTCTGTGTAATTCTGTCTGTTGAAGTAGAACTCCTCTGTGTAATTCCGTCTGTTGAAGTAGAACTCCTCTGTGTAATTCTGTCTGTTGAAGTAGAACTCCTCTGTGTAATTCTGTCTGTTGAAGTAGAACTCCTCTGTGTAATTCCGTCTGTTGAAGTAGAACTCCTCTGTGTAATTCTGTCTGTTGAAGTAGAACTCCTCTGTGTAATTCTGTCTGTTGAAGTAGAACTCCTCTGTGTAATTCCGTCTGTTGAAGTAGAACTCCTCTGTGTAATTCTGTCTGTTGAAGTAGAACTCCTCTGTGTAATTCTGTCTGTTGAAGTAGAACTCCTCTGTGTAATTCCGTCTGTTGAAGTAGAACTCCTCTGTGTAATTCTGTCTGTTGAAGTAGAACTCCTCTGTGTAATTCTGTCTGTTGAAGTAGAACTCCTCTGTGTAATTCCGTCTGTTGAAGTAGAACTCCTCTGTGTAATTCTGTCTGTTGAAGTAGAACTCCTCTGTGTAATTCTGTCTGTTGAAGTAGAACTCCTCTGTGTAATTCCGTCTGTTGAAGTAGAACTCCTCTGTGTAATTCTGTCTGTTGAAGTAGAACTCCTCTGTGTAATTCTGTCTGTTGAAGTAGAACTCCTCTGTGTAATTCCGTCTGTTGAAGTAGAACTCCTCTGTGTAATTCTGTCTGTTGAAGTAGAACTCCTCTGTGTAATTCTGTCTGTTGAAGTAGAACTCCTCTGTGTAATTCCGTCTGTTGAAGTAGAACTCCTCTGTGTAATTCCGTCTGTTGAAGTAGAACTCCTCTGTGTAATTCTGTCTGTTGAAGTAGAACTCCTCTGTGTAATTCCGTCTGTTGAAGTAGAACTCCTCTGTGTAATTCCGTCTGTTGAAGTAGAACTCCTCTGTGTAATTCTGTCTGTTGAAGTAGAACTCCTCTGTGTAATTCCGTCTGTTGAAGTAGAACTCCTCTGTGTAATTCCGTCTGTTGAAGTAGAACTCCTCTGTGTAATTCTGTCTGTTGAAGTAGAACTCCTCTGTGTAATTCCGTCTGTTGAAGTAGAACTCCTCTGTGTAATTCCGTCTGTTGAAGTAGAACTCCTCTGTGTAATTCCGTCTGTTGAAGTAGAACTCCTCTGTGTAATTCTGTCTGTTGAAGTAGAACTCCTCTGTTTAATTCCGTCTGTTGAAGTAGAACTCCTCTGTGTAATTCTGTCTATTGAAGTAGAACTCCTTTATTTAATTCCATCTGTTGAAGTAGAACGCCTCTGTGTAATTGCATCTGTTGAAGAAGAACTTCTCTGTGTAACTCTGTATGTTGAAGTAGAACTCCTCTTTTTAATTCTGTCTGTTGAAGTAGAACTCCTTTATTTAATTCCATCTGTTGAAGTAGAATGCCTCTGTGTAATTGCATCTGTTGAAGTAGAACTCCTCTGTGTAATTCTGTCTGTTGAAGTAGAACTCCTCTGTGTAATTCCATCTGTTGAAGTAGAACTCCTCTGTGTAATTCCGTCTGTTGAAGTAGAACTCCTCTGTGTAATTCCATCTGTTGAAGTAGAACTCCTCTGTTTAATTCTGTTCTTATAAAAAAAAACATGAATTTGAATGTGGAAGGATATCCAATTATGCTCTTAGCTAACAGTTGTAGTTTCCAAGTTTTCATTCTCAAAAATGTGTTTTTTTACAGATTCAAGAATGTGATGTTCGAGATTGCTGCAACAGCTGATCCAGGCACATTTGATGTCAATGCAAAATTTATGGGAGTAGAAATGGAAAAAGTGGAACTTGTTTTCCAGGTAACAAATTTTACTATATCCCCACCACTGGTTTTTTTCTTGCGGAGGGGGGATTTTCTTGAATAGATACTTGGCATTCATGCTAGTGTGAATAGTTGTTACTCTTTTCACTATGTATATGTACATTTTAACTTTATAGTTGCTTGTGATCTAACCATAAGTTTTCCCTAATATTTATGGTATTGAAATGTCTGTATTGTCAATGCAAACCTCATTCCTGGAACAACCTAACATCTAAATGTTTGCTTCTCGTGATAGTCTCTCATTGTGTAAGGCTGGATTAAAAGTATCAAAATGACACTTATTTAGTTGCATTCTTAGTTTTTAGCTCACCTGGTCCGAAGGACCATCAGGTGAGCTTATGCCATACCGCAGCGTCCGTCGTCCGTCCGTCCGTCAACTTTTCCTTTAAAACACTACTTGTCATGAACGACGTAGCAGATTTTGACCAAATTTGGTCAAAAGCATACTTTGGGGAAGGGGAACAAATGATGTATAAATGGTGGGTCTGGCCCCCCTGGGGGGCTGAGGGGCAAGGCCCAATAGGGGAAAAATAGCAAATTCTTTAAAATCCATCTTCTTCTGTAGGAATGAAAGGATTTGGTCCATATTTGGTGTGGAGCATCCTTGGGGAAAGGAGAACCAATCTTGTATAAATGGTGGGTGTGGCCCTCCTGAGACCTGAAGGGCAGGGCCCAATAAGGGAAATATAGGTAAAACCTTTATAATCCTTCTTCTACCATAAGGATTAAGGGATATTATCCTAATTTAGTCTGGAGCATTCTTAGGCAAAAGGGACTCAATTTTGTATAAACGGTGTGTCTGACCCCTCTGGAGGCATAGAGGCGGGGTCCAATAGGGGAAATAGAAGTAAAACCTTTAAAATCCTTCTTCTACCATAAAGATTAAGGGATTTTATCCTAATTTAGTCTGGAGCATCAATGGGCCAAGGGGACTCATTTTGGATAAGCAGTGGGTGTGGTCTCCCAAGGGGCAGAAGGGCGGGCCCAATAGGAGAAATAAGAGGTAAAACCTTTAAAATCCTTCTTCGACCATCAGGATTATGGGATTTTATCCTTATTTAGTCTGGAGTATCCTTGGGTCAAGGGGACTCAATTTTGTATAATTGGTGGGTATAACCCCCCTAGGTTGCATAGGGGTGGGGCTCTGTTTGAAGTTTGTTCTCACTATATCTCAAGTACTGGATGGATCTTTTTGAAATTTCATATGTACTTACAGCACCTACTTCATACCAATTATTTTAAACATATTCAGGTGAGCGATACAGGCCCTCTGGGCCTCTTGTTTCTGGTAGTTTTCATATGAGGACTTGCACTTGAAATGTACATATATCTTAATGAAACATTGTTGTACACTTTAGCATGAGAGTAGCTGTTCTGTTGACTTTCATTTTCTTTGCCGTTCCCAAAGTTATTGCCCAATTTGGAGCATTACAACAACTATTCCTACATATCTCTGAAACCCAGTCGAGTTCATCACCTTCGTTTGTAATTGTACATTATCAAGCATACTGTTCCCATGTCGTATTTAATGGAGGGAACACATACAAATCTATATGGAGGAGTGGGAACAGGTGTCAATATCTGAAACCTTCAGAATGAGAGAGATCTCAAATGTGGGGAAAAGAGCGTGAAATGTGACTGACACTGCTATGCTCAATTTATCTTTCCATTTTTAGCTCACCTGGCCCAAAGGGCCAAGTGAGCTTATGCCATGGTACGGTGTCCGGCATCGATATTTTACTTTAAACAACTTCTTCTCAATAACTAAGAGGCCTAGGATAATGATATTTGGCCAGTAACATGCTAGGATGAAGGGCTACCAAGTTTGTTCAAATGAATGACTTTTATATATATTCAAGGTCACAGGGGTCAAATAGGTTAAAAACCTTTAAACAACTTCTTCTCAATAACCGAAAACCCTAGGATGATGCTATTTGGCCAGTAGCAAGCTGTGATGAAGGGCTACCAAGTTTGTTCAAATAAATGACCTTGACAAATGGTCAAATGTCTTAAAATCTTCAAACCACTTCTTCTTAATAACCAAAAGGCCCATGGTATTTAAATTGGGCCTGTAGCATGTTGGGATGAATGACCTTGACCCACTATCAAGGTCACTGGGGTCAGATGTCTTAAAATCTTCAAACGACTTCTTCTCAATAACCAAAAGGCCAAGGGTACTGATATTGGGCCTGTAGCATGCTGGGATGAATGGCTACCAAGTTTGTTCAAATGAATGACCTTGATCCCCTTTCAACCTAATGTGCTTGTTCGACATTCAAGGACACAGGCTTCATGTTTAAATCTTTTAATAGGTTCTTGTGAATCAAACACTGATATTCTGCCTGTAGCTGTATTTTAGTCCACTTTTATGATTACAAGTGTGAGTTTAATACCAGGTGAGCGATGCAGGCCCATTTGGCCTCTTGTTACGTATCAAAATAACTCCAAAATACATTCATTTGATTCAGATACACCTGTTATGATCATTACACACATCCTGCAGTAACTAGGAGATTATTTGACCACAGGATGTAGATTTTGAGTTTGTATGAGTTTAGGCTTGAATGAGGGAGTTTTGAGGGAGATTGGTAAATTTTGGTCAAACTAAGGGATGGTTGACAGCCACAAGTGGGGAATATGTATGTTAACATTTGGCTTACAGCTGTAATACCCTTTTGTAGCAGGATTTAAAATTTCTATTTTATATTTCAACTTTGAAGTTGTTTTATCTATTGCAGATTTTTATTTTCTCGATTTATTTGTTGTAAGAATTGTATGTGCTCTGTTTTATTTGTTGTAAGAATTTTATTTGCTCTGTTTTGTTTGCTGTAAGAAGTTTCTTTGCTCTGTTTTGTTTGCTGTAAGAAGTTTCTTTGCTCTGTTTTGTTTGCTGTAAGAAGTTTCTTTGTGTGTTGTAGGACCTACTCCAGCTCCAGTATGAAGGGGTGGCAGTCATTGAGATGTTCAACAAAGCACGCATTAATGTCAATCTTCTCATCTTCTTATTGAACAAGAAATTTTATAGTCGGCATTCCAAATAAGTTATCAAGTGCGGTTAGGCAACAGACAAATAATATCACTTGTCCTAGGGCCTGTGTTCAGGAAGAGTTATCTACCCTTGTCCAAGTGTCTGAGAAATCTTGCCATTCTAACCCCAAGAAAGCTGGTCTGTGATGGTCACATGCATTTAGAAGCTGTGAGCGTAGAACGGTCTAATGGAGCCAATCAGTAACAGGTCATAGATCTGTGTGTCTGTCTCCACCGACACACTCAGGCCTACCACTGCTGGTATACCACTGCTGGTACTTAGGTGTTCAGTCTAAAATGGGGAACATTCTGTAACTGTTACGTTTGACAAGATTGACAAATATCTGAGATCTAATAATCGAACAAACAGATATACAGGTCAGTAACACTGCTTGCTACCTGCAAAGAGTACATTATATACATGTATAATATTAGACTTGTAAAACAGAAGGCCTGCTGTGAACTTATTTCTATATCATAATGTATGTGAATGCCTTATAAATGATTACTAATAATATTGGTTTTATCGGGGAAAGTAGGGAGGCATTTACATGCAAATGTAGGTCAACACGTATAAAAAAAACAAATAAGTTGTGTAAATCAGTTTTAAATAAACATGATAAGTACTGAGGACAAAAAAACAGACCTATAAATCCACGATCCTTTTATTTCAACAGGGAGCTTGTTCAGGAAGATCTTCTAGTGGTTCCAGTCCTTGATTTACCAAAATATTTATGCCTTATATACTTGTGTGACAAACTGCCACAAATAAATTAACTTTTGACCGAGGAGTTTCCTTAAATTAAGATGATTAACTTTACTTTAGAAGAATCCAGGAAAGGTAGATTTATGATGCACTATAGTTTCATGTAGAATTCAATTAGTCATTATGTAATATTTGTCTGGGGAAGATTTCATTGAATATTGTAGTTAACTAGTGATTTATGCAGAGCAAATAGTCATTATAGTTTAACAATAATTTATAGCAATTAAAAGTACATTTTTTATATTCATCAGATCATTAACTTCATCATGGTATGAAGTTGTTTATTATTATACGATTTTATCTTCATGAAGCAAAGATCTTTAAATTCGTCTTCAATTCAACTTTTTACCTTTTTTCTTGGATCTGATTTAGAATCTGAGATTGCACCCTTCGGTTTTGATTCTCTGAGTAATTCATGATTTCGTATTTTTTTTGTTTAGAATGTTATGACGAAGAAATCGTGCAAGGGGCAATTGTCAATTTTCTTCTTAAAAGTCTGTATTTATGTTAGAGTTTTCTGTTACATACAATTCTTTGATTCTATCTTTAGATTATGTTTTATATGATGAATATTGCATGCAATGTTTACACAAAATTTGTATGAATTGTTTACAATTTGCTTACACCACTCTTGTCTTTCCTGTGTTTCACTGTAGGGTAAAACACACCTTTTAATTGATTCTAATGCTTTCTATTTGTATGAACTGTATACTGGGAAAGCTTTGACACATTTTAACCTTTGCCTTCTGTAAATTAATGAGCGTGAATTCACTTAACATAGTATTTCCACAGTAAATGGTGATATCAAAACTGGACGAATAGGAATTGTTTATGTCATATAGTGAATAATTGTGGGACGAAACTCTCCCAGTATACATTAGTTGTTTTGAGCTCAATATTCTATTGTACCATATTGATTTTATAAGGAGAGATATAATTTGCTTGGAGGACTAAACAATACTGCTTTAACTATCCATAAGGGATGTTTGGTGTAATAAAGACAGTTTTGAAGAGAAGAAAAAAACACCAAAGCATTGCTTGTATGTGCAAGCCTACTAACAACAGAACGACCTTCCACACTATTTATTAAACACTCAAGGGAATGCTGTTATATCAGCAGGGATGATATGTACAAAAGGTAGTGAAAGGTCGTGATCAGAATATGAAGGGTATAAATCACAAAAAGATGAAACAAATTGACCCTACATATGATGATTATCTTTACTCCTAACCCTAAACAAAGAAACAAACTACAGACAATGTATAATTAACAATTAACATCAAAATGTTTCCTAATTCTTACAATTTGGCAGGGCCAACATTTTTTTCCATAAATTTAAATGATAGATTTGAAAAGAAAACTGAAAACATTGTCTGATAGTGACGTGGCATGGCAGTTCCGCAAGTGTGGTGGCATGGTGGTATTGTAAGTGAGGTGGCGTCATGTTGAGATTTTATTGTATCTTTGTTAGCTTTTCATGTGTGCTTCCCTTATTTTTATTGATGCAAGTCATGAATATTTATATATATTGGAGGAAAAACATCTACAAATAATTTGAGCTGTAGGTAAATCTAGATGCATAAAATATTTAAACATCTTAATTATTTAAATACCATATAAAAGTGATTTTCAAATGTTCTGTGTCCTAATGGAATCAATGCAATTAACATGACAAATATTTTACATTTTCCATTATTGTGTAAAAAAAATAATGTAAGCTAGCTTAGGGTTAAATCAATTGAGAATTTCACTTCATTGTAAAATTCCCTCAAAGTTGAACTTGAATTCTTCAATTTCTTTTAACTAAGCTGTCTATTTCCGTGGTATAAATGGAAACTGCAGCATGCCCTTATACCTGTCTAAAGACTGTCAATAGACCTAGTGCTAGTTAAAAACTACGGTGGAGATCACAGAGGCTGAGAAGGTTTTCCTCAAACTCAACTAAAAACAGACTGAGCAAACATGATCAATACAGAAATTATAGATAGCAGGGACCAGTCACCAATCTGTCATGTTTGTATATGCAGCCTTTCAATAGGGGAAACTTGAAAGTGGTGACAAGATCTGAAGATGCTTGGTTAAACTTAGAAAATGTCAAAATACAAATGTGGAATTGAGAGTAGAGCCTACTTTCACTTTTTACAGTAGATGTAGTAGTTTTATTTTATAAATTGATCTGTTATAAACCATTTACATCATTGTAACATGATCATCAGTTTGTGCATCGTACAGTGAACTATTTTCTATATGAATGGGACCATACTCTTATTGTCATTATTTTGTGTAAGCTTTTGAATTGCTGATTAATGATACTTTACTTATATGCATTTTATTTGCAAAATATTTGTACTTGTTTTACCAGAAAAATTCAAAGTAATACTTATCATTCCTAACATTTATCATAGCTATCAGATAAATAAAGTTTGCTCAAACCTGACCTAAATGTTTCTGAAAATGATTGGTTGATGAAACAATAACTTCCCTCATTCGTGAGTGTCATTCCCTACTATCAGTCATGCAAAGCATTCCAAATGGTTTGACCAAATTGTTGTGTGATGTTCTGGAGAGCCTCAACAGAGGGTTTCAAGGCCTGCTGTAATATCTGTAGGTTCACCAGGCTTAAACGAAATATTTCAAAAGTAAAAGGGCCCTGTGCCATTTATCTCTGGCTAATACATGTATTTGTATCTGACTTGAATTTCACAGCAATACATTTTGTTCTCGTTTTTTCTGTAGGAATTTTGTAGAAAAATCAGCTTAGTTCTTTTCTTGATTTTAATTGAACATGTCTAATGATCTGATTGTTAGTACATTGTAATACATTGATGATCTGAGTTTTAGTTAGTACATTGATGATCTGAGTTTTATATGTTTTAAATGTTCTTTGTTTTCTTGCCCCTGGTGCTACTAGTTGTTTTACTTCTGTATGCTGTACAGAGCAACTACCATTTTACAAACATGTGCCGTATTTGTGACTGAATAAAATTGTCATGTTACTATCAAGAGTGTCTGGATTATGTATCACTTGGTGGGACATATAGTAATTGTAATATGGATATTACCACTTGATAGGAATATTACTCATTTTCATAGGTACTGTTTACATAACATCAACTGCACACCCGGGGGTATTTAGAAAGAAGAAACTTCATGGAAAATTATAGTGTTATAATTCTGATTAGAAAAACGGATATTTAGCCAACCATATCAATTCTTGTTATTTCTTGAGACAGATCTTTCTCAAATTTCATTTACAGGTTTCCCATGGTGCGTATACATGTAGTTGTGCTTAAGTTGAGATGGCTGCCTTATTTTGAATTTTTAGGTCACCTGAGCTTTAGCTCAAGTGACCTATTGCTATCCGTTTTCGTCCGTCGTC